CATAGTCTAATTAGTTTGGGTTGATTTTTGTATTCTTTGTATTGAAGTGTAGCTGAAGATTGAGTCTTGTTAATTTGTGTGGATGGCAATGTATGCTGTGTTTTGGTTGAGCTTAGTTCAGTAGGAGAATTTCCATTCTGTGAAGTTGTAGTGTCCCTGTAAGTTCCTAGCACTTTGTGAAACAAACAATAGTGACAAAAGATGCAAACAATACACAGCATTAAAGTAAATACCCAATTCCTACTATGACATCTACAACATTAATTACCACAGAAACAGGAATGATATATGAATAGAAAGATATAAGGTGTGGGACCTGAAGTCCAGCTATGATTGTTTTGATCCTTTAATGTGTGTGTGTGTGTGTGTGTATGTGTGTGTGTGTGTGTGASAGAGAGAGAGAGAGAGAGAGAGAGAGAGAGAGAGAGAGAGAGAGAGAGAAAGGTAGGGTCAGCAATTATCAACTGTATAAATAACAATCATGAACTAGATCAGGTTTTAAACAGAAGGTGTCAATTACAGCAGTAATAACTGCATCAGCATTAATAGTGAGGGCAGGAGTTATATGAATAAATTGGTTCTAAAAGATGGTAAAACTACAGTTAATTAGGAGAAAACAAAATGTGCTAGGAAGGTGGAAAAGTTTAATTTTAAAAAAGTGATGTAGCAGGTGATATTTATAAGGAGGGTGCAAAAAACAATAGAAGTGAAGTAAAGGAGGAAGAGAGAACAATTGAATTTGACCCTTAGCAGGAGATGAAAAGAGAGAAAGAGAAACAAATGAAAACAACACAAAACAAAACCAAAATATATAAACCAAAAAGATCCCCAATCCTCAAATTACAAGGAGGAATAACTATTTTTAAAAAATGCTAAAAATGAAAAAAAAGAAACAAATATGCATGTGTCTCTGAACCAATCAGCACAGCAAGAAGATACACACACAGAGATAGTGAGCAAGGGAGCATGAGGGAGACTGGGCTGGAGTTTGTTAACCCCTCCTGTTTTTATGCTGTTCTCTGAGCTGCCAGCTGAAGTAGCCTATGACTGAAACTGTTTGAAATAAGTCTCAGCTTCACTTCTCACCAGTATGAAGCAGGATAGATTAGGAAGTTGGAGTTTTGTTCATACACATCAAATCCGTGCACTCCCAAGGTAAAGCTTCTGCAGAGTTTTATGAGGGGAGTTCTGGCAGGTAGCACTTAGGTCTATTCAGCCTTCAAGGGTTTTGTGGGTTGGTGTCCACGCTGGAAAGATTAGATCAACACACCCCTAGGGCCTGGTACTTGTCAACCTCTGATGAAAGTCTGGATTTCAGGAGCCTCCCAAGAATTCCACTCATGGGGCAGGAAATTCAATCCGCTACTGCCCACAAGTGCAGTCTTCACAGGCTTAGTCCCTCACTTCATTCACACCCTACCTATTAAGATTCCCTGCCCACTTTAGCTGGTCACTTGAGCTGCCCAAATTGAAAGATATTCTGCAGGGCTCTCAAATCTTTCATGGAGATGTATCTTTTCTGTAAGCTTCTAATTAGAAACGTTTTTCAGTTTTATTTTTTCAAAAGCTTATACATCTACTACCTCTAGCATCTGTTTGCAGTACTGAAAATTCTTTAATACTAAAACAGACTGATGAACTCTCTTTGTTCTCAGTGGCCCCCAGGTATCCAAAGCATAGCCATCAATGCTGTGTCCAGTAAAACAGAAACCAGTTCTTTAAGCAGCTGTTGAAAATCCAACACTAGATGTATGCTTATTCTTCTCTTTCACTTTCAAAAGAAAAACTGTAAGTTGCACTTTTATTCTGATTGTTGGCTGTGCCAGCTTGGAAGAGAGGCTAAGTTCTAAATGAAACTTTTTTCCTTGCCCAATTCAATGTGCTGTTCTTGGCTTTGAGTTTACCTGGAGTACTCCAACTTCCAAACTCCAGAGTTCTCATAAAAAACGTATGGACTGTACACTAGTTAAAAAGTTAGTATCTCTGTGGAGAATGAAGTCCAGAGTTTCTATTCTACCACTTGACTGACATTATTCTCCATTGATTCTTTTTTTTTATACTTTTTCCATCCTTTTATTCTCAATCTGCCTATACCATTACATTTGAAGTGAATATAAACACACACACACACACACACACACACACACACACACACACACACATATGGGTCATGATTTTTAATCCATTCTGCCTATCTGTATATTTGAATGGATGTATTTAGACTGTTTTATATTTAATGTAAATATTGATATGTTCAGGCTTAAGTCTGTTGCTTTTATTTTTCTTTTCTGTTTTCCCTAGTTATTTTTGTTTTCATTTTCTGCTCTCCTATTGATTACCTTAATTATTTTATTGCATACATCTTGATGTGCCAATAATATTTTGAGTATATCTCTTTGTCTAAAATTTTAGTGGTCAACTTTTACATTACATTTTATATTCATAACACAAAGATGTCTTTATTACTAGGTCAAGGGAAATACAAAAGCTCTATTTCCCTTTACACCTTTTCACCCTTTCCCAGTTATAGTCAGCCTAAATATTTCCTGTACACATTTGGATCCACATTAGACAATGTTAATACAATCTATGCTTTGACCATCATATATTATATATACTTTTAAAAGCCCAAGAGAAGGAAAGCTTATTGTATTTATCCAAAATTTTATTTACTGGGATTTTTTTTTTGTTTTGATACTCCAACTTTCCTCCATTTCTTCCATTTCCTTTCTATGCAAACAATGTCCTTTAGCCAATTTTTTTAAAGGTAGGTTTCATGTTGGATACATTCTCTTAGTTTCCTTCATCTGAGAATGTCTTGATTTCTGAATTCCTGACAGATATTTTCACTGGGTATAGGATGCTGGTTTCTTTCTATTTTTGTTTTTGCTGTATTGTTCAGGCTGGTCTTTGAATCCAAGCAATCCTCCCACCTCAGTCTCCTGAGTACTGGGACTACAAGCATAAACTGCTACACCTGGCTTAGGATTCTGGATTCTTGTTTTTGGGTTTTTTTTTTTCTTCTAGTACTTGAAGAATACTGAAGTTTCCTTTTGGCTCCAAAGGTTTCTAATGAGAAATATGCTTTCACACATGTAAGGTGTCATTTCTCTCTTGTGGTTTTCAAGACTCTTGTCTCTGTGCTTAGGTTTAGAAGTTTGAGTATGGTATATCTTGATATGGATTTCTTGGAGTTTACTCAGCTTTTTAAATCTAAGTTCACATCTTTTGCTAAATTTGATATATTTTCAGCCATTATTTTCTTAGATCATTTTTCAGCCCTATCTTCATTCTTCTCTCATTGACTTCCACTAACACAAGGGGTAGGGAGTAGTGGCTCCTCATTACTGCTGGACAATGGTGGGAATTTTGGCTCCCTTGTGGTCACCACTGATACCACAAAGGACAAGTTTTGCCCTGTGGAGCTGAAAGTTACATATTCCTACTCTGCTTTCTCTGACAATCTGGGGAAGTTGGAACACTCCATTATAACCTGATAAAGCCTAGGTTTCCCACTTGGCCTTTCCTTAAAGTAGGATGTGGTGGATTTGTGTTTATGTGTGTGTATGTCTGTATTGTATGTCTAAAGAAATTATTTTTTAAAAGTTTTAAGTCTTAATAATGTTCCACTTTCCATATCCCTTGGTTAGAGTACTGGCTTTCATTTATTTATTTCATGTCTGTGCACTTTCACAGTTCCACATTACCAGCTTCTTTAGTTCCACTTATAGGATATATGAGACAGAAAGAAGACTTAAGGAATTTAGTAGCATACTTGTATTTAGGATTTGGATACCTTAGCCAGTCTGATTTCCTAGTTGTTTTATGTTTGGCTTACACATAACATCCAGGAATTTGGATTGTAATTAGTGGGGAAAAGTACCTTTACTATATCTGCCCATTGACAGAACTCATTATTATTGTCTAGATTTCATGATTAACTTTAGCTGTGTCTTTCTTTTCATTCCTAATATTAGAATATGAAGTAGGTTATCATGTAAAACAAGAAAATTTGTGGTGCTACTGGTTTTGAAGCACACTTATTTTTTCCATATTTTTATTGGTGCATTATGATTATACATATAGTGAGATTTCTTGTTATATATCTATACAGGCACATAATATAACAATATAATTTGGATTTTATCACTCTCCAGCACTCCTCTTGTTCCTCGCTCCTCCTTCCCTCTGGGTCATTTCCTCTTCTCTATTAACTTTGATTTTTCTGAGATCATACCCATATTTTTTTCCTTTATTCTCTTTACCTTCCACATATGAGAGAAAGCATACAACCAATAACTTTCTGCATTTGGCTTATTTCATTTTACATAGTGGCCTCAAGTTCCATTTTCCTGCAAATGATAAAATTTCATTCTTTTTCCATTCATCCACTGAAGGACACCTAGACTAATTAGTTCTATCATTTGGCTATTGTGAATTCTGCTATTACAAACATAGGTATTCATGTATCATTATAGCATGATGATTTTAATTCTTTAGGATAAAGACTGAAAGTGGTATAGCTAGGTCATATGGGGGTTCCATTACTAGTCTTATGAGGATCCTTTATACTCATACTGGCTATATTGATTTACAATCCCACTAACAGCATAAAGTTGAAGCACACTTTAAAAAACCATTCAATAGGGAATATAAAGCAATGATTCCCGGACATAGCAGGAATTAAGAAATGTGGATAAGGACCTTTCTAATGTAAATATTCTATGGTTTCCAGAGAAAATCTTCCCTGACTGATCTCTCCTGATATTCACCCTTTGATGTTCTTCTGCTGATATAATTTATAGTGTTTTTTTGTGGTTGTTGTAATTCTGTTTCCAGTAGTTTCTTCCATTAAGATTAAAATCTTTCAATTGAAGCTATTTCTTATATTTTTACTTAAAAAACTATTAGTCTGCAAAGAGCACAATTACCCAAAAGCATCAAGATTCAGCAAACATATTTTTGTTATAAACTGACAGCTCAAATAACATCTTACTTACCCAGTGACAATAATTTCTGGATATGTTTGTGCTCCAAGGTTCCAAGCTCCTCCACTGATTGGCCACTCCTAAATAGATTGTCCAAGAAGAATACATAAATTTTATTTTTTAGTTTAAATGACTTTGAAATTTAAAATGAAAATATTTTTAAAGGCTTGCTTAACATTAAATTGCTATAAAATATTAAAGGATGAAATGTGAAGTTACCTTTTAATTCTTTCAATGAACAAACACCTCTCTAAACACACAATTCTATTTCCTTTAAAACTATATTTTAGTTAATGTTACCATTCATATAAACAAATAAAAGAAGTATTTTTAATTGTACAAATACAATGTTGCTACATGAATCATATAGTCTGTGTGCTACCCATCTTTTATGATGCCATTTTAACATAATGTTAAATAAGTAGCGCCTCTTAGAGTTTTTCACCCCAATATAACTGGGCAAATAACAGAAAGCACAATATATAGTCTGTGACAATTGCAAATATTTTCATCTTGTAGTAAACATATAAAAAAATAAGTTTTAGAATGTTACTAACAAATGACTTTAAATAATTATTTTTCCTAATCATTATTTAATAAACGATAAACTAGGGAGAAATGACACAAATGTCTTAAAATATAATCCTTCATCTAAAATAATTAAAGGTTACATATTTTTATTTTAATGTTAGTTTAAGTATATAGCATACAAGTATGTTAATAAATATATTAATATCTTTGTATATAATTATATACTTAATGTATAAGAAATTTATATTTTTGTAGACTTAAAACTATGTAAAATTCAGAAAATTTGGATTTCAGAAGTTCTATCACTTATGATGCCAGATTCTGATTTCAAAAGAATTTAGCTCAAGTCCTTTTGTATGGAAAGTCAGAAAATAAAAGGAAAAAATATGTCAAAATGATATGAATATAAGAAAATTTGCTTATAATTTTTACCTTATTACTGTATCCTTGTTTTTTATGCTTGACTCCTATAGAATACAGTACTAAAATCAAGTCTGGAGGGCAATCGGCAAAATATGCTGTGCATGTAACTGGTGATTCATGAATGTCCATGGGATATGGATTTTCAAAGATAGGAAAACTAATAGATAAAGAAAATATATTAGTGTCATTTTGCAAAGATAAAAAAGAATTTTATAAAAAATATTTTTTATAAAGTAAGCTCTAAAATGTCTCTAAACATTAATTACAAATTTCACTTGTTTTCTTGTACTAAAATACAAGAATTACACAAACCAAATGCCTTTTTAAAACAGTCATCTATAAAATGTAATATTAATACAAATAGAAAAGTACTCAAATTGATTTTCTTCTCAGAAGCCAACATTCCACAGTGGCATATCTTTGATAATACAAATAAAATGAATTAAAATTAAACAGAATATATGCAAAAAGTTCACTCATTAAAAATCATATTAAATGTGTATTTCACATAAATAGTTATATAAAATATGCAAATATTAAAGTATCAGTAAAATTTGATATTTTCTAAAGGGAGGTTATAAATAGGCAATTTTTTAATTTTTTGAAGGAGTAATTAAAAGATGTGCATACTGGTAGGTGTTTGCGTATCTGTGAATGTTTTAAAGATCATTTCCTAAGTAACAGAGCTGGAATGAAGATTTATGGATGTAATGAATTTCCTCAAGCCTACTGTAATTTTAAAAAGGAATGAATACAGAATAAAATAAAAAATCTTGTAGCTATAATGTATTCAAAACATCTCATGTAACAGGCACTGTACAACATGAAATGAGTAGTAGTCTATGCTGCCTCTGTTCAAAGTCTGTGATCACACTACTTCTGATTTAATATTATTACTGGGGGATGGATGTTAAAAATAATTTTCTCTTATTATTAGTAACATAATTAGGAATTTAATCCAATCATGAGCGAATATAGTGAGTGTGTGGATATGTGTTTGTATATGTGATGGGGAGTGTGTTGACAGGAATTTTCTTTCTACCACTCTGAAATGCTGCAAAGGTATGATATTCCAGATAAAGATAACAGTACATACAAAATCAAGTAGAAAGGAGCTAGACATAGTAAAGAACAAGTAGGCTAAACTAGATAGATTAAAATTTCTGTTTCAAATTATAATTAACATTTCTGAGATTGAAGAATTAGATAAAGGGCAGGGGATGTGGCTCAAGCGGTAGCGCGCTTGCTTGGCATGCATGCGGCCTGGGTTGGATCCTCAGCACCACATACAAACAAAGATGTTGTGTCCGCCAATAACTAAAAAATAAATATTAAAAAATTCTCTCTCTCTCTCCTCTCTCTCTCTCTCTAAAAAATATAAATTAAAAGAATTAGACATAAAACAAATAATCTGTCTTCCAGACTTACATCTTACAATTTGGTAATAGCAAGAGGTAACAATGATAGGCTCCTGACAAGGCACTGAAAAGAGAAACAAAAATTTACTATAGCTTTTTATATGAAAAAGTAAAAACAATGCCGTGGAAACGAAAATAAGAAACCAAGAAGAAGAATTTGTACACCCTATTTTTTTCCTTCATGTTGGAAATTAAATGGTAAGAGAGAGAGATTTGAAAAGGACTCCCAAATTACAACTTGTTTCAATACTCAACATATCTACTTAAAAGGAATATATACTATCAGTTTGGACATGTTAAATTTCATGTAAAAGTGAATGAAATGGGAATATCACATAAGTCACATGTGTTAAAAAAGCAAAAGTCCAAACTCAAATTGGATCAGATACCTAGGAATTTGACCAAGCTATCTACTCCTTAGTATTTATCTGAAAGAACTAAATATAGGTTCATCAATGTTTATAGCAACTCCATTCACAAAATACAAGTTATGGAACCAGCCCAAGTGCCTGTCAATAGATGAAATTGATAAAGAAAATGTGATGTGTATACACACACACACACACACACACACACACACACACAATGGAGTTTTACTCAATCATAAAGAAGAATAAAAATATGGTATTTTCTGTTAAATGGATGCTAAGTGATAAAAGCCAGAATCAGAAAATCAAGAGTTGAACATTTTCTCACATATGTGGAAATGAGACCAAAAATAAGGAAAAAAAATCATATGTGTGAATCCCATGAAAATGGAAGGGACATAAGTGGAAAAGAAAGGGATTGAGGGTGAGGAAAAGGGAGGAGGAGTGGAATGAAATTGAACAAATTATGCTATGTACATATGTGAATTTGTCACAGTGAATTTCACCTTTATGCATATCTATGAAGCATTAATTTAAAAAGCTATAAATAGAAGTTAGACCAGTAGAGTAACAAAGGAGAAGGGAGGGAAGGAGGAAAAGGAAAAAATTCTAGGGACTGAAATAGAACAAATTATATTCCATGCATGCATGTGATTACATAAAATTAAACCTCATTATTACATAATACACTAATAAAACATTTTTTTGGTGGGGGTATCGGGGGTTGAACTCAGGGGAACTCAACCACTGAGCTGCATCTCCATCCTAATTTGTATTTTATTTAAAGATAAGGTCTCATTGAGTTGCTTAGCTCCTCGATGTTGCTGAGGCCTCAGCCTCCCAAGTACCTGGGATTACAGATATGTGCCACCATGCCCAGCAAACATTTTTAAAATGAGAAAAAAAAGAAAAAATAGTGCTAAAAAGTAAAATGTTAGATAAAACTTGTAAACTAAATGTAAATTCATATAAAGAAATGAGAATCATAACACATGTATAGCAACTTTCATGTTACACATATTTTGCCACAATGAAAAGAATTTAATAAACACACTGAAAAGTGAAGTATTAAAGGTAAGTATAGTGAGTCTTGGAGGATACTAGACAGGTATGAAGAACCAACAAATATTACATGCAAAGCAGAGCTGAGCACCAAGGAGATCAGAAGAATACATTTTAATAAAACTTACAAAAGAACTTGTTAGATGAAGAAATATAAATCCTTACATTACACAAAATTGTCAAGTTTAATGTTCATATGTAGGGCTTTCCAGAATTCAGTTACGATGATCTTAGAGTCAAAATCCTACATCTCCATCACATTATTGACATATGTGGCAAATTAGTATAAAGAAGAACATTGGCTCTTATATTTACAAGCTATGTTGAAAGTTTAATTCAAACTAATTTATTTAACAAAAATTTATTGAGAACCTAATTCCATGTGAGCATACAACCTCTCATGGAGCCTATTGTTTATTAGGGAGACAATGTTTAAACAACAAAGGGAAAATTGTATCTATGTCAATATGAAGTAAGGAATATGAGGGCTATGAAGTATTAGGATATTTGACCAAGATTTCTTTTTAATTAGGAAGTGATTTCTAAGTTGAGATTCCTAAGATATTCGGAAAAAAAGATTGTTCCAGGTAAAGGGGAAAGAATATACAAAATTCTTCTTTAGACATAAGGGATTAAAATCAGTGGGTCTAGAATACACACTGAGGGAAATTAATTTCATGCCTATCACCATTTATAATAAAAATGTATAGCCTGAAGACAATGTTCATCAATTTCAAGTCCACTGCCAACATAAGGGAGCTGAGAGCACCACTGTTCCAGAAATATCCTCTATTTGTTTCAAATGTCCACAACATAATGTAAAAGAATAGAAAGTAAAAGAAGACCCCAATCCTCTCTATCCCCAAGATCCCGCTTATCACATGTCATTTTCATTTAATCAGTTTTCTTCCAGTCAATAGACTAGCTGCCATCTGTCTGTTAACATTTTTTATAACAATTGCAAGTTTTCGTAACAATTGTTTTTGCTTATTAATGAGATGTCAGAAATGTGATCCACTTTATGTACTGAGTCTTCAAATGCTTCTATCCAAATATCAGGTGTTGTCTTAAAGATATCTGAAAATATTCTCAGTTCTCTTTTGGATTAATTTTGATCATTTAACTAAATCATATTTCTGTAATTTTGGAAAAACAATTTTTCACATAAAGAAAACTAACCATCTAAAGAATACTAAAAAGTCAATTATCTAAAATGTACTTTCTTCAATTTAACTGTAATGAAGAGAATTTTAAAATAGTTCATGTTAATCTATATGTAAATAACTTACTTGCTTTGTGTCAGATCAACTACAATGAGATCTTTCTCCAGAAGTACGACGACAGCATAGGGTTCTTGAAATTCTACAAGTAAACATTTAAAAATTTAAGTTTTCAGATTGCATTCATAAAAATCACCAAAATTTCATTTTCTTTAGTTCTTATGCAAATAATTATTATTAAATGATCTGAGAAGACCAAAATAAAAACAAAAATGGCAGAGCACTTTATAAAACTATGTTGTTTTTCTCAATTTTAATGTTAACATTACTTTGGAGAACAAGAAAAAATGAAACTTAATACTATGGAATTAAATACATCAGATAATTATGGAGTGGTGATAGTAATGAGTTAGGTGAGGAGATGAGGTTATCACTTTCATTTACAAGTAATTATACTCTTTGTAACCTTAGTATTTTAGATCTGATATCATGCCTACATTAGATGTACTGAGGAAGTACTAATTCTGTTGCGATATGATCCATATTCACCTCCCTATGAAAGTAACAGTACTTGTACTAAAGTTTACTTTCAATTTAATGTGACTTAACACGAATGCTGCCAATATAATGAAAATGAATGAAATTCAGAGTTAGGAGGACTGTGTTAAAGTATAATATAGGACAGTACATTCTTTTGCTGTCATTTGAACAAAAGAAGAGATAAGTGAGTGCATATATACATAGATTATTTTGAGGAGAATAAATAAATTGGTAACATTATTGTCTCAGGAAGGGCATTAAGAAACTTTTCATTATTTTTTGCTGTGTATTGTATCTTCTCTCTTCTGGTAGTTTGATGTATGAACTGTTTTAATGGTGCAAACAGAGATTGCCTACTCTGTGCCTAGGAATATATATCTAGAAAAAGCAGAGAGTATGAGAATAGTCTAATATGTTTAAGTTTCTAAAATCTAACCTTCCCTCCCTCCTTCATTTTCTTTTCCCTTAAGAGCCAAAATAACAGAGCACTTTATAAAACTATGTTGTTTTTCTCAATTTTAATATTAACATTACTTTGGAGAACAAGAAAAAATGAAACTTAATACTATGGAATTAAATACATCAAGCAGCTACTGAGCCTATTCAGGTTTTTTTTTTTCCTTCTTCCAATATATTACAGAAACTGTTTTATGAACAATGGATATATGGGAAATAAGACTGTCAAGGTACTCTTTCTCATTTAGTTTACAGTACTCTTTGTCATGTAGTTGGATGTTTTCCAACCATGAATAAGTAAAGAAATAAGAAAGTTTCTGGAAATTATGTGTGCTATGACTACGGTTAGGGATAGGGATAAATTAGGACATAAAAATTATTTACATTTAGAGGAAGAGGGATACTAATTTAGTTAGAGTCAAGGAAGTCATTGCTTTTTTATAATAAAGGACTAAAGGAAAGTTATAGCAAAAGAATTATTCTCAATTTAAGGAAGACATTTATAAACAAATTTTATGTTCATGATATTTGATTTTCAATAGTTAGAATACTTATTATTATTTTTCCATTTTATGCTATAAAACAGATACAAAGAAGTTAAGAGCTTGACAACAAGGTTATGCAAGCAGTACATGATCAAGCTAAAACTTTAACACAGGCCTTCTGACTCTGAATCCCACCTCATTTTCATCATATTAGCAGTTTATACTGGCTATGTTGAAAATTATTAAATCCTAAATCCAACAATCACTTGGCAGGAGTTTTGTTCAAAGGATTCAAATCTTGGATGTGAAATTTAAATACTGGAATACATAATTTTCATAGTCCCTCCAGACCCAAGCAGCTATTGAGCCTATTCAGGTTTATATTTAAACCCACATGTGTATGAGAGAAAAACTGTAAAACACAAAACAAAATCCTGAAAAAGAGCTGGCACTTGCTGGTGCATAGTACTTGGATATATATCTATGTGACAGAATGTCTATATACTGTTTGCTATTCAAATTGTTCTCAAATTGAAACTTTCTCTCTTTTTCCTTGTCTATAGAGTTGTTTTAAGGTTTTCAATCTTGTTTCAATGTTTTGYTTTTCAGTTTGAAGAACAACAGGGTTCCATGTGACTAGTTATTATCACTTTGCCTTCTTTCCTTACTGGTTATAAAGTAAGGGCTATTAAAATAACTGAGACACTGATATGTATAAAGTTATAAATAAATCATAATTTTAGGTAATTATATTTGTTTTAGTTTACTGTTGTTCCTTACAAATAACAAAAACTGGCAGCAGAGGTCTCAACTTTATAGAAGTACCTTATATGCTGTGATGACTAATGAACAAAAAAATTCTTTAGGAATCAAAGTTAGGTTCAATTTTGTATCTACTATTTACTAAGAGTTTTAACTTGGGCAAATTAGTTAATTTCTTTGACTTCCAATTAATTTACCCATTGAAATGACACAATAATAACTAAAGGTTAGATGTACATGAAGATGTTTATTGGAAAGCCTGGCAAAGTAAGTGCCAGCTGCCAACTGTATTCTTCATCTATTGGATTGGTTTATTCCTGACTTTAATCCTAGCCTTCAACATAGTAAAAGTGTTAATAACTTGGTTTAACCTATGCACAATGTTTGTCATTATGCAACTACAAAAAGATTGAAATCCTGAATTTATTCATATGAAATAATTAAAATTTTAAGTGAAAAAGTATGATATAGGATAGTGCATACAGCATGCTGTCGTTTGTAAAAAAAAAAGAGAGAGAGATAATATGTAATTAAATGAGTACATAAATGCATAGATTGTTTTAGGGAGAATACATAAGTAAATTAGTAACATCACTTGTCTCTTGAAGGGCAATGAGAAATTTTTCATTATGTATTACTGAGTATCATTAACCATTTTAATATTTAAAAACACATTTTAATAGTTAATAAGATACATTTATAATTCACTGGTAAAATTAAACTACTTCTAACCCCTAGCAAATGAAAAGTTCAATATTCATTACCAATTGTAAAACAGAGATTTATATATGTGTTTTAGAAGTAATAGGCATGGTTGCAGTACATTTATATTTTATTACATATCATTAGAACTTACCCTAACTTCTCTATTGGTGTCTAGAAATGTTATGTTTGTTCTTTGCAACAACACATTCTCAATTTTTATTACTGGCATATCTTCTTCCTCAAGCTATTAACAGAAAGTATTTTCCCAACTTCAGCTTTTGGTCCTTTACTCTTTTTGCTTTTTCTTCCTATATTTCTTTGTTATTCATTCTCATAAATCCACAGAACATTTATATTCTAATGATTTATGAATAAATATTGTTAAGACTTTTTCTGTCCTCTCAACTACTCCACTGACTCAGTCTTTCTCTTTTCAAAAACTACTATTGTGCATGAAACCACTAATCTTAAAACATGTGGTTATTGCTGGCTCATTTTTCAAGTCGGTCCCTAATCCAGTTGTTCACAAAATTCAGAGGATTTTCCTCACTGAACTCTATAGGTAGTGTTTTAAACATACATTATTACAAAAGTCTCTCAGTTGGAATCTGGATTTAAGATTTCAGTGTCTCTCTTCAAACCTACATACTGTTTTTGAGTAAATCTTACTAAAATTAATGCTTTCTTTCATTTTAGCATTTCCTCAAAATTCTTCATAGTTCCCTATTTCCAAAAATCTCTAAAACAGAAATTTTTTTCTAAATTGATCTCACACAAGCAAACCTTACAGTTTTTGAAATGATTATCAATATCCTTTATAAGGTCTACCTAAATCCTAGTTTTCTGTGATGTTTTTATGAATATTTCAGTCATCAAGTATTTATCAGCCTATTAATTCATACATTATATTCTGAATCATACAACTCAGCATTTAATTAAGGTCTTAAAATTACTTCAACTCAGCAAGTCATAATTAGGTCACTCATCTGATCAGATTTTAGGCAACCTGACATCAGAGACCCAGTTTCATATTTTATCTGTTTGTCTAACAAGTCTTTGTACTAGTGAGTGCATAGATGCATTCAATAAATATTTGATGATTGATTAACACAGGTAATTTCTTTCTAGTAATTCTGGACATAAGCTGTACATTGATTGTTATTTATTCTACCTTTTAATTATGAAACTCAATAATTTAAAAGAAATTAATGCATTTAATAATGAAACACAACATGCATATCTTCATAGTTTAAAAAGTATATTCACTTGACCTTCCAAATGGGGACAATGTTATTATTCTCTTTCTATAAATGAAATGAAATGTAAAATGTCTTGCTCAATATGACACAGCCAGTAAGTAGCATAACTAAACCATAAACCCAATATTCTGTCCTCAAGTTCAGTGCTCTTTCCCCATACTTATGTTCCCTCTTAAAAATGTAATAATCTATACACATATTATGTTCTTCAATAATAAGCTCATATTTCATTTTTACATTTTCATATTTCTCAGTTTTAGATATCATTAAAGTATTTTATCACTATTAGATTTAATTATACAGTTTGCATKGATTTAAAATAGTTTCTTCATTTACAAAAAGCTTTTATTTATACTCAGCTTGATAAAAATATATACATCTCTCCTTCTGAATATCCTCTGACTAATCATTCTCAAAATTGAAATAAATCACTAACCACACATCAGCAATCCTATAGTAATCAGATGTGCTGCAGTTGCATCTGAACCAAAGCCAGATGTGAAACAGATGCAGCACCACCATAGTTACAGATCACTGATATCGGGTAAGTGCTTTAACTTTGATTGACTTTGGGATGGGATGGGTGGAGCTGGTCTAGGAGAGACTATTAGGAGACCTCAGTTTCCCCAAGTGATTTTACCCTGGACCCCTATCGGACCCTCCCAGCTCAGCTTCCACCATCCTTATCAAAGTTTAAAGCACTTACCTGATATTAGAACCTGAAACGCCAGCACTGCTGCACTACATCTGTCTTACTTCCAGTTTGTCAAGTAGGTACAATTGCAGAACCTGCTCCAGCACCTGTAGCTCACAGTGTACCACAGTGGATATCTGCTGCCAAAACTGAAAATATTGAACCTTAATTTTGTTAGGAACTTCTCATTTCAAAATGATTTTTTCAATAATTATAGTTTCATTTTAGTTACTTACCATTTGGATAGGGTGTTTCACATAAAGTTAGAAATTCAACAATAGGATGATCCATTTCAAGTACTGTAATTGCTTTTCCATGCATGATGGTTAAACTTGGTCTTCTGCAAGCTTTGTCATAGGACAGCCCACCAGAGAATATTATGAATGGTTCACTACATAGGAAAAAAAGTTAATGAGACTGAGAAGTCCTTTAARATGACACAAAGTCAAAGGACCGAGCCTTTAAAGAACAGGCTCACATTTTCCCTTTTCTGGATATACATTCTAACCACTAGAATAACTAATGGATAAGCCTAAAGGTGTTGGGAGTGGTGTTGAGGAAAACCAGTGAGGTTGGAGATAAGTGGAAGTGCTCACTGACTCTCAAAGGAACATCTTTTGGTTCCCAAATTCTTTACAACGACCCTCAGAATATTAAAGTTTTTATTAGACTATCCAGTAAATTAGTTGGAATCTGGAGCTCCAGATCCCTAAAAGATAAAATAAAGCAAACTAATACATAATGAAATGTGACATTAAAAAATACAGGATAGAGGATGACAAGAAAATTTTGGATATGGAGTCTTTGTGGGGAAAAGTTTATAATAAAAAGATGGAGACAGATAACATGTAAAGGAAAAATAGTTTACCAAAGATAATTATGATCCCTTCTCAATTTTACTTATGGATAGCCAGCTACATCTATCTTGCTCAAGTAACTTAAGAGTAATCTTTTAGTTTATTAGTTTTCTAGATACAATTAGATAATAGAATAGGATTGAGATGATTATTAACTATTATAGCTGCCTGAAAATTATGAAATAGCCTCACAATTTTTCACTTTCCTCTTAAATAAATACCTATATATCTTCAGTATATGTATCAGGAAAAAATATATTGACCTGAGATAATTTCAAAATGTAAAAACAAAATCAAAAATATTCTTCCCCAAATAAGTTTATAAAAAGAACTGGACACTTTAACTGTATCAAATTCTTTGAGAATATGCTTCCCTAAGTAATTCACTTCTGTCCTATCTGTTAAACTAGAAATTATGAGATTTTCTTTTTTTTCCATTTTGTATGGTTCACAGTACCAAACATTTGCTAATCTTATGCTGGCAATATAATAACAAAGACTTTTTAAAGTTTATATCAAAACCTTTATAGCAAATGCCTGTCGTAATTTTTCTTTAGAATGTTGTCTTAATATTTTAACACAAGCACATGAATAGTAAAGAAAAATGTTCTGACTTATTCTTTCCTCTGCATTGGTTTGAGTGATGGTCTTGCACCAGTGATTTGACATAGTAAATGACCATCTTACTAATGGTGATATTAAAAAGCATGGTTGCTCTCTTTTGACCTAGATATTTCCTTGTATCCTATAATACATTATAAACATTAAGTATATATAATTTATTTATAGAAAATTAGCAAGTACAGGCATACAATATGTCTTTCCCAATCTGGACAGTTAAAGAAGGAAGAATCATTTCAATAATTTATATTTATTTCACATTTCTCATAGTTGTCAATGAACTACAGTCAAATTTAGACTAAGAATCATTATGATTTCTTTTAGGCTGTGGATATTTGGATGATCTTTATTTCTTAACTAAATTAATGCATAGTCTAACATTTGTACAGCCTTCAGTAACCTAGAGGGTTTTTAGATTGCCTCTGTGTTGCTAAAATCACAAAGAGTCTGTGCTTTAAGTATGAAACACCTAATATAATCAATTTGTCTTTATTTTGATGTTGTAGATTGTGGCCTATTTACCTGTGGCAACATCTCTCAGTACTCTTAACCTCGGTGCTCCTCTGCTTTTTAGCCTCCTTGTGCTTTAAGCTTCAGGTCAGAGGTAATTTTCTTTTCTTTTTCTTTTTCTTGGTACCAAAGATGATTGAACCCAGGGATGCTTAACCACTGAGCCACATCCTCATCCTTTTTTATTTATTTTGAGACAGGAGGTCTCAATAAATAGCTTAAGACTTGGCTAAGTTGCTGAGGTTGGCCTTCAACCTTGATTCTCCTGCCTCAGACATCTGAGCAACTATGATTACAGGCATGCACTACTGTACTCCAGAGAGGTAATTTTGTAATAAAGTAATAATCATGAAAAATAGATACAATGTACTAATATAGCCAAGTACATGGGATAATAGTAACTATGATCAATAACATGATTTTTCTATATTACAAATCTAAAGAATTAGATCTACATATGGTTAGATTACCAATAACTAGAAGAGTAATGCAATAATTTAAGAGTAATGCAATAATTCACACAATGTGGAATACAATGACTCTAATAATGACAATAAATAATAGTAATTTCTACTTATAAAGAACCCACCATGTAACTTTAACAAACTTAGGACATTTTATGCCTTATGCATGATTTCATGTAATCCTCACAAGCATCATAGTGAAATAAGTACTGCTGGTGAGGATAAAGGTTCAAGAGTTAATCAAAACTTCCAAGGCCACACAGAGGTCTTACTCCAAAAGCCAGATCTTAATCAGTATTTTATACTGCTTTTATTTAAATTCCTAAATCCTAAAGTACCTTCTCTTCATTTTCATCCTTTTCTCTGGAACCAAATTGTTATCCTTTAAGTCCTATTTCTGACAGCTTCTTTCCCAAGAAGAATTTCCCTGATCTCTGTCTCACAGTTCTCCCCACTATCCTCAAGGCTTTGATGTTAGATGCCCTTTTTCTGTGTTCCCAAGTTTCTATAAATTACCTTACATGTTTTATAAAAACTACTAGTTTATGGCTTTGCTTCTGCTACTAACACATAACAAATTCAAAAGCAGCCAGTAATTTCATTTTAGTACAAAACAAAGCACACAGTGCATAGAATATAATAATAACTTAATAACTGTTATTTTAGCTGAATTAAAATAAATCTTATTAAATATTTCATATAGAAATATTTTTAAAAGGGCCTCTGAGCAACAAAATAGACATCATTAAGTCCCTGGATCATATACTTCATCATGGAAAACTGTCAGATATTCACATAAACCTCATTTTACAAGTCTGGCTTTTGTTTTTACAGGTTTTTAAAAATATGAAATTAAGAATAATTAATATCAAGAATCAATAAATGGGATGAATTCAAACTAAAAAGTTTCTTTTCAGCAAAAGAAACAATCAGTGAGGTGAATAGAGAGCCTACTAATTGGGGACAAATTCTTACCACACTCATGTCAGAGCACTAATCTCTAGAATATATAAAGAACTCAAAAATCTTAACACCAAAAAAAACAAATAACCCAATCAATAAATGGGCCAAGGACATGAAGAGACACTTCTCAGAAAATGATATACAATCAATCAACAAATATATGAAAAAAATGTTCAACATTTCTAGCAATTAGAGAAATGCAAATCAAAACTACTCTAAGATTTCATCTCACTCCAGTCAGAATGGCAGCTATTATGAAGACAAACAACAATATGTGTTGAAGAGGATGTGGGGGAAAAAGGTACACTGATACATTGCTGGTGGGACTGCAAATTGGTGTAGCCAATATGGAAAGCAGTATGGAGATTCCTTGGAAATCTGGGAATGGAACTACCATTTGACCCAGATATTCCTCTCCTCAGACTATACCCAAAGGACTTAAAAACAGCATACTACAGGGACACAGCCACATCAATGTTTATAACAGCACAATTCACAATAGCTAAACTGTGGAACCAACCTAGATGTCCTTCAGTACATGAATGGATAAAGAAAATGTGGTATATATACACAATGGAATATTATTCAGCTTAAAAGAGAATAAAATCATGCATGTGCAGGTAAATGGATGGAACTGGAGAACATAATGCTAAGTGAAATTAGACAATACCCCCAAACAAAATTCTACATACTTTCTCTCATTTAAGGATGCTGATTCATAATATGCTGTGGGGGAGGGGGATGAGAGGATTAAATGAACTCTACATAGGGCAAAGGGGAAAAGGGGAAGGAAGGAAGGGGCCATATGCAATGGTCATCATTACCAAAGTACATGTATGAAGACACGAAGGATGTGTCTCTACTTTGTGTACAACTAGAGATATGAAAAATTGTGCTCTATATGTGTAATATGAATTGTAATGCATTCGGTTATCATATATAACAAATWAAAATTTAAAAAATTTAAAAAGATGAACACAATATCTTTATTTATTTTATTTATTTTTATGTGGTGCTGAGGATCGAACACAGTGCCTTACATGTGCAAGGCAAGTGCTCTACCACTGAGCTACAACCCCAGCCCTATAAGTTTAGCTTTTAAGACTCTTAGTCTATAGAAAATCAAAGACCAAATACTAGTAGATAATAAGTTTAAAATTATACGAAGTTCTCATGGTACAATACTGAAGGGGAAAATAATTTAAAAAYAAATACATGAAAAAGAAAAAACAAAACTACAAGGTGTTGGGAATAAATAATAGTCCCATACACTTCAATACCCTTGAAGTATAGCACTATATAACAAGTGGTGTAAATAACAGTGAACATGAAAACACAAGTTTAAACAATAATTACTGTATTGAGAAGAGAAGAATCCCAAGATGGCAGGTTAGTGGCACCTACTACTCACTTGTCTCCATGAAAAAAGAATTAAAACAAATAAAATGTAGCTTCTCATAGAGATGGGGATCATGCGATAATAATGCAATTCAATATAAGAAAGACAGATTTGAAGAAACTGATAGATGTTGGATTATGGAATAGAGTGAAACAAAAGGGCCAGTACCAACCACGGAAACATGGTAGAGGGAGTTGTGCACCTTTTGGGTGGCAGTAGAGGAGAAAGAGGGAGAGTCTCACTGGTACAAGAATCTGCACCCCGCAGAAATACAGGCTAACCAATTAATATTCCTAAGATTTGCATGGTGAAATGACTTTAGAGAAGTTCTCTCCATTTCTCTGCCTGTACACAGTGCTCTAACTGATAACCATCTTAAGAAGGGCTATATTGAGATTATTTCCTTGGGAATGATCATGTAGGAGAACAGAAGGCACTTTCCTTTGGAATTCAGTGGGTCATTGAAGAAATCAGGGAAATTTACAAATTCCTAGAATCAAATGAAAATAGAAATACAACATACAAGATCCTGTGGGATACAGTATAAGCAGCACTAGGTAAAGTTTACATATATTAATATCTACATGAGGGGGGGTAGAGGGAGGGAGACACATGCAGGGGAGAGCGAGAGCGCACTCAAGGAAATAAGCTATTGGTACAGCCAAGGTCATAGAAAAACAAAAACATATTAAACCCCAAACCAGTAAAATGAAAGAAATAATAAAGACCAGTGACTAAAAGAACAATAGAAATGATCAATAAAACACAGAATTGATTCTTTGAAAAGATAAGCAAAATTTACACACCCTTACCTAAACTAACCAAAAGAAAGAGAAGACCCAAACAAGTAAAATTAGTGATGAAACAGAAGAAAATACAATTGATACCAATGAAATTAATTTGGATCACTAGGGAATATTTTGAAAATTTATATGATAATAAACTAGACAATGTAGAGGAAATGAACAAATTCCTGGACATACATGACCTACCAAGAATCAGGAAGATATAAAAAACCTGTATTGATTGATAACAAGTAAACAGATTGAAGTAGCAATAGAAAGTAAAGCCCATGATTTGATGGACACAATGCTGAATTGTATCAGACTTCTATGAAAGAACCAACATCAAGGTTCCTCAAACTATTCATGAAATATGAAAGGAAGGAACCCTTCCAGAGTCAAGCCAATCTTACTGTGCTACCAAAACATGACAATGACACGGCAAAAAAAAAAAAAAAAAGAGAGGCTAATATCATTAATGAACAAAAATGTAAAAATCCTTAATAAAATACTGATACATTGAATTAAACAGTATGAATTACACAATTAAATACACTATGATTCATTCCAGGGTTGCAAGGATAGCCCACAATATATAATTCAACAAATTTAAAACAGCATATGAAGATAATCATGGATAAAAATTGTGTTATCAAAATAGATGCAAAAAAGGCCAAAACTCTACATTCCTTCATAACAAAAGCCTTGAACACATTAAGTTCAGAAGGAGCATATCTCAACAAAATGAAGACTATGCACAATAAACCCATAGAAAATATCATGCTGAATGTGTAAAAACTTAAAGCATTTCTTCTAAATTCAGGAACAAGAAAAGGGTGTCCACTCTCACCAATCTCATTCAATATAGTAGTAGTAATTTTAGCCAAAGAAATTAGGATACAGAAAGAAATAAAGCCAAAGAAACATGAAAGGGGGAAGTAAAATTATCCCTGACAGCTGATGATATGATTCTATACTTAGAAAATCCTAATGGAACCACCATACGATCCAGCTATCTCACTCTCTGGTATATATTCAAAGGAATTAAAGTCAGCATACTACAGTGATGCAGCCACATCAATGTTTATAGCAGCACAATTCATAATGGCTAGTGCCCTTCAATAGATTGGGGTATATATACACAATGGAGTATTACTCAGATTTTTAACTTTTTATGACTTTATGGTATTTGCTGATAAATTGATGGAACTGGAGACCATCATGCTAAGTGAAATAGCAAGTGGAATAGCAATCCCTGAAAGTTAAAGGCAAAAGGTAATTAAAAAAGAAGAGAAGTAAAATCTGAGGATTATATAAAGGGGAATGAAAGAAAGGGAGGAGGGATGGAATAGAAAACGTCAGTGGAATCAATCTGACCTAACCTTCCTGTGTACATATATGAATATACCACAGCAAATCTCATGTCTACAAGACACTAATTTAAGAAAAAAAATTAGTAAATGAGAGAAAGATCAGTAGAGTCTAGAGGGAAGGGAACAGGGGTGTGAGGAAGAGAAGGGAAGGGAAGGGGAAGTACTGGGAACTGAATTAGAACAAATTAAATTCTATGGTTTTATAATTATGTTATGGAATATTCTACTGTCATTTTCATATATAACTAAAACTAATAAAAAATTTGAAAATAAAGTAATTGCTGTAAAATATCATGATTTTATACTATTAAAACTTGAAAATAGGTATAAAAACACGAAATAGATTTATGATGCTATAAGAATTCTAATGTGATCATATATCCAATATAAAGTATGATTATCTAATTTACAGTTAAGACAGTGTTTAGGAAAAGTTAATTATGGTAGTATTTGGTAAGAATACTGTCACTATTGACTATTTTAACTAAACGAAAAACTGCTGAAGTATAGGATATAGCTGCTATAAATATAAAGTCAAATTTTGTTAAATATCATTCTTTTATCTTCTACATCTTAAAATTTGATACTTGTTAATTATGGCAATACTCGTAACTATCCTTCCCAGTCTATATAATCTTTCCAAATTCAAAATCCTAAAGTTCAGAGGTCTGGTTATGTTTACTTTTGTAAACAATATCAGTATGTGTATAGCTTCTGATTATAAATATTGTTAATTGCAATTTTCATGAAAAAGTCCTCAATTATTAAAATTAATGTATATAATTATCATAAATACTCATGATTTTTAAATAACTAATACTTATTATGATTAATAATAATGATAATCACAGATAKGCCTTCTAAACCACATCATTTTTTATTAATGTAAAGGATTTAGCCCATTACTATATGTAATTATGTATAACTTTAAATAATACATTGACATAAAAGGTTATCTGCATTTCTTTTCTCTGTTCCTTATATATATTTCCATATTCCTCAAAGCAAAAATGTATACCTGTTTCTGCAGGTCTTGTATTCTACTTTAAGAATTGGTTTACAAGATTCAGATTTTCTTCCTTCTCTTTGAGTTTTTCCTAAGGAAACAAAAAAGAATCTTATTAAAAGTAATTTAAACTTTATTCAACCATAAGAATTTTAAAATTTTGGGCTGGGGATGTGGCTCAAGCGGTAGCGCGATCGCCTGGCATGCGTGTGGCCCGGGTTCGATCCTCAGCACCACATAC